CGTGATTCCTTTATCATTTATTTATTTATTTTAAAAAATTTAAGTCTGGAATCTGATTCCTTTTGGGATGAGCACCCCTCTGAGCCCCCCAGTTTCAGAGGCTTCTTTGGAGGTGACCACTGAAAAGTATAGATTCTATAAAATAGATGTGAGGGGGCATTGGGCAGTAAAGTCACCTTAATTATACTTTTCATATAGCAGATATGTGATATGCAATGTGATTTAATATATCAGAGTATTATCACTTTAATTGACACTGCATTTTTTTATGCATTATTCTTTTTCTTTTTTTCTTAAATTTTAATGTCTGTTTAGAATATTGCAGCCTTGCAATATCAAATTAATTTTGCATTATATGTGCTTTTACAACATATTAAAATTAGCCTCTTTCAGAATTGTAGAATATGTGGTGGAACTGAATCCTCATATATGAGATTTGAAACTGTATTTTTATATCTACTCTGTGCCCTAATCTGTATTTATATACATAATTGCGGCAGCATATAGCTTTTAAAGAAGCAATTATTTCACCCTTCATGTGTGGTTGACTGTGGACTTTTTAAAACCTACTCTTTATATTTATTTATTTTAATCCGTTTCTGGCTCTGAGAGAGCAGGCTGCTGAATGCATGTAACTGCTGTTATTGCCTAGTCTATATACTTTTATTTATTTAATCGTATTTTATAAAAACCTAGGTTATCAAATTCACTGAGATTACGTGTCTGATCTGATTACAGTCAGTAGTACAATATAATTGTTCTAATTTCTTTACTGCTAGTACGGTGGGATAGTACCACTGATTTAAGTAAGCTTTCCCTTTTAAAATTGGTGGACTTTAATCCTGCCATTGCAATAGACTAAAGACTGTACCTGAGTAAGCAAAGTCATTATGTGCAGGAATTGTTCACTTTAAATGGTAGAATACTTATGCTATTCTAGTGAATTGGGCTGGCTGCTTAACACATCATTTAATATCTTTTGGTCACATTTAAAGCTGTAAATGTATTTAACATTTTATTTAAATAAGCCTTTAATAATTTCAGTTTAAAAGTTATTAGAGATCCTGTATAGTTACAATTTTATTTTGCCCTGATTTATCTTACATATATATTTTAATCATTTTATCAATATTTATTTTCGCAGAGCATTTAGAGAAGCAAAGGATGTATAACCACATGTTGCCCTTTTTTATAGGAGGGTAGTATAATTTCAACTCTGTTTAGGAAAAATATGAGCTAGTTAGCATATGTTATATAAAATATATACTGCATTGAATGTATTTAAAAGCCATGTATTTTTCTTTATGGCTGTATGTAATAATGTTGTTCATAATTTGGAATATAAAACGACGACTTCTCAATTCCTTGGAATGTTTACATGTCTCTGTATCTCCGCAACCTTGGCTGGAAATTCCAGACTCCAAAAATAGTTATGCTGTTATAATTAATGATTTTCAATCAACAGCTAGCCTAACTGACAATATGGAAAATATCACTGTTTTCTAAAACCTTTCTTATATAGTGGACATTAGAATCCAGAACGCAGTAATGCAATAATTAAAAATCCTGTCTGTCTGTTGCATGAATGTTTTCATTAAGCCATAATGCATTTTTTCTTTGCATTCTTGGAATTAGACTTCAAATTTCATCGCTCTGTCTTATCACTTTTCTTTTGACAACATTTTGCATTAATCTTTTTCCTGCGCATGCATGCTAAGCAGCTACAAAGAGAACATATCCCCCTGTCTGCAATCCACTGTCCTGGAACTAACGGGCCATGCTATGCTGGTGTATTAGGCATTTGTTCTATTATGATATTAGTTAAGATCCACAATTTCAGCATTGTATGCTAATTACGTTGTACCTGGCACCTAAACTCACAGTGCCTTGTTCACATTAAAATCATCTCTAATGATCTCTTTCTGAGTCTGGGCTACAAGTAGCTCAATAGATTCTTGATATTTCAAGACTTGTGCCATGACAAAGTATTGTGTCTTCTCTTACGTATAAGAGGTTACCTAGGTATTTATTTTATATTTAAAGCTTCCAAGTACAAAGTCCCTTCGTGGTCGCCAATTGTAACCGTGTGTGGTTCCCTTATTTACCACTATAATGTCTTAAAGCATAGAACTTAGTAGGGCTAACCATACAGATATCTTAGCCATAATTTTATATAGTGTAAGAGATCCTCTATTTAACATATATAAATAATTGAGAATACAATATAAAATAAGGATTGTCTTGGAAGCAAGATTGTCTTTTGGATATTTATTATATAAAAATATAAAATCCATTATAGCAGAGTTTATAAGATTAAATTACATGCTTGCAAATATCATTAATAGGTTAACATACCCTTCTGAACATGTCATCATGTCAGCCTCTCTGTCATTTTAAGATGGAGCAGCGTCTGTCTCCAAGTCTCTCCTCTGTTTCTTAACATTTAAAAGTACACCTATTTATACCTTAGGTGTCTCCATTTTAGGTTACTGTAGTTCAAATATGAAAAAGTAACACTTCTTTTACTTTATTCAATTTAGGACCTCCCTTAATTTGGCAAACATACAAGGCCATAACTAAAGGGTGTATACGTCATGGAAATTTTCCTGACTTAATTCAAGATGGCATCTTAAAGTCTGAATGGGTTATCTGTTGTTTATACTAAGTCGTAAGTGTACAGTCGTGGGAGATTCCCGTATTTGGGGAAGTTCCATTAACTTAGGGTTACCACAGTATATTGTGTACTGCAAGTGTTGTAGAATAGCCTTGAAGCTTGTTTATGCATTATTGTTATTGTAATTCGTCTGGGACAAAATGGCGCAAACATATTATGCACTGAGGTTATTGCCTAAAGGAACAGTTATGAAAAACAATATGTTCCATTTCTAACACCTTGTCAGTTTGCAATATCTCTTAAAGACAAAGTACACAGTTTAAGAAATACAACATTTCATTCTAAAACTTGTAATATTTGCATTTGCCCATAACACTACTGTGTAGTGTGACACAGGATATAAGGGGAAAGGTGCTCATTAATCCATATCATTCCAATCTTTTATTCTGAAAGAATAACAAATCAGTAAATTAATTAATTGTCTATTATAGCACTCAGGGAAGAAAAAAAACTTCAGAACCGTTATTTCTGAAGAAAATCTCCGGGGAGCCATGGCTATAATAAGACCGTCCCTCCCTCCTGGACGAATTAAGGTTTATTAAACAATTATTTAAATTTAGGGCTTGGTATAAATTCTTTACAGATCCAATAAAATGATTGTCTGTTTCCCATGATGAAGAAGATAAAGCCTGCTTAGAGTGAAATATATTAATAACATATTTTACTATCACTGTTCTTTGGGATCAAATAATATTAATCCGCACATAACCAAGTCCCATGGAAAAAATAATAATTAGGGTGCACCGAGCACTATTGTTCATTCTGGATCAGTCTGAGGTTGAACGTTCTTTGCTTGGAATATCCAGAGTGCTTGATGTGACATCTTTTTAATCTGCTTGCATGATTCCATATCTGGTTCTCCTCGGTCAGAACGGCTCTTCTGGTGATGGCAACAACGGTTGTGAGAGGTCTGTATGGTGGATCAAAGGTTCCGGATTTGAAGAAGGTCTTCACCAAGACTTGGTCTCCAGGCCTGAAAGGATGTGTGGTAGTACCTGAAGGATGAGGAAGAGATAGAGACAAATCACCATAGATGCCATTCAATGTGTCTACAAGGTTCAATACATAACACAACATTTAGATCTCCGCTCACCATTGAAGCACCTTTGGACTTACATCATGTAGTTGGAAAAGGTCTCCCCATTAAAATTTCAAATGGTGAATAACCCGTAGTGGAACTAGGGGTCATTCTGATCTCAGCTAAAACTGCTGGCAAATTGTCTGGCCAATTGCGTGTGCTACCCAAGCCTCCTTTTGTCAATTTCTCCTTGATCATTTTATTCATCATTTCTACTTGCCCTGATGACTGAGGGTGATAGGGTATATGAAATTTCCAATCTATACTCAACATTTTACAAACCTGCTGTGTAACTGCTGAAGCGAAAGGAGTTCCTTTATTACTATTAATCATAAATGGGCAGCCAAAACATGTCTACAATACAAGTAAATACTTAAGTCCACCTTTCTGCCGTTGTCATATGCATTAAGTCAATTTGTAAAATTAACATTGGGCCTTCCACTGGAGGTAACTGTGGTATGGTAGTATTAACTCTTGCACATGTTAAGCACCTGGATAAAAATATTGGTAACTGTCTGATCTAACCTGTTAATTACAAATCGTTCTTTTAGCATAGCCAATACCCCTCTTCGTCCGACATGTCCATAACCATGGAACTGTCGGACGAGTAACACAGAAGAAGCTTGAGGGATTGCTATGCGACCTTGAGGATACCAGAATTTGCATCAGGTGTAACAGAATGTATACTCTAGTAAGCTAAGTCATCCGAAGATGATGCAGCCTGCATAGAAAGAATATCAGTATCATCAGTATGAGTGGCTATATGCAGTTAAGACCTGGTCAAAAGAAACAGTACTGTAATCTGCCCATAAAGGAAAAGAGGCAGCTGCCCTTTTCGCCACCAAATCTGCAAAATCATTACCATCTCTGACCATGGAGTGATCTGTATCATGGCCCTTGCACTTCACAATAGCTAAAGATCTAGGTAACAGTATGGCCCTCAATAATCCATCAATTAATGCAAAATGAGAAACAGTTCGACCATCAGCTGCAACAAAGCCTCTAGCCTGCCAAATGACACCAAAATAATGAACCACTCCAAAGGCATATCTCAAATCAGTATAAATAGTCACATCTTGATCTTTAAAAGCAATACAAGCTTGTGTAAGAGCAATCAACTCTGCCTGCGCTGAGACAAAAGGTTAAGAACCTGCAGCTATTACACTATTAGGTATTTGTACAACTGCAAAACCACAAAGGAAAATAAACCAATAACTGATTTCAAAACTCTGACACAAAATCTTGCTCAGCCCAAAATACACAGAACCAACCTACATCAGTACCAGGTCTATCATGTTTAGTGTCCAAATTAAGAGCCATTTCTGTTGGTGAAATATCAGCATATTTAAAAACAACAGACAATAAAAAAACAAAAATCTGCCCCTCCAAACTGTTGATCCATTGTTACTCTCTTTAAATAATTAATAGTGCCTTCTGGAAGCTTAAACGGATCAGGACACTGAGTCCTAAGAGACACCAAATGTGATCCATAGGGAGGCTTAATTATAACAGTCTCACCAGCAACTACAAAAGGATAGGCAGAAGCAGACACATGACTGGGAACTAGTACACCATGACTCTTATAACCCTCATCCACCACTAAAACACTATCAACTTGCTTATTCCCTGCACCAACATCCACAGACTTTCTAGTCACTTTCTCATTTTTTCATACCAACATCAACATTTTCTGCAGTGGATCTCACCATTGCAGAAGGATTCACAACCATCTATCCAACATGACTTTTCCCTCTACCAATCGCCATTAAAATTTCATCAGTATCAATATTCCGAAAAATCTTTTTTTTTTTTTATTCATCCAAACTGATATTTATTGGTACAACAAAAAGCACATAAGCAGGTGATGCTGCAGAAGCCTGAACATACTTTGTAGTCTGATCAGGAACAAACCATAACTGAGCACACTTTAACCATCCTGTAGCTGCATTATGCATATACTTTTTATCCCATTTTGAATCTCCACCTGATTTTTTAAACCTTCAATACACATAACCTTTCAGAATTTGCAAATGAAAATCACTAAAAGAACCCTCTCTTGGCCATGGATTACAAATCATTGTATCACAATTCTCTGACCATGCAACTAAATCTGTACAAAATGGCTCAATAGTTTCTTGAACAAACTGGCATGGAGTTTGGCCTAATTGAGGACCCTGAGACTTGACTTTCGGAGTACGTGACACAGCACTATTAGGGACATCTTTAGATGATTTAAATTTTACAGAATTTTGTTGGGAAATTTTTTTTTTTTTTTTTTTCTTTTTACCATTACTGGAGCCCATTTCCAACTTAACACAGATAACACTTTACAATATATAACACTTTATATATAAGCAATGCACACTTTTTTTTAAACAATACAACTATACATGCAGCGCTGCAATAAACAAAAATAAGATTTATTCTACTGTGTCCAAACTGTGCATTCAATACAGTGACTAAATGTGGTCACTCAGTGGGACTGCTATACCCACTATATACAACTTACCGGTAAGATGGGACTCTAACCCATAAAATATAAATGTTTCTCTTATACAACTTAACGTGGGACTCTAACCCAGACTTAGTATGGGACTCTAACCCCAAACTTAACATGGGACTCTAACCCAAACTTAATATGGGACTCTAACCCAAACTTAACATGGGACTCTAACCCAAACTTTATATGGGACTCTAACCCAAACTTTATATGGGACTCTAACCCAAACTTTATATGGGACTCTAACCCAAACTTAACGTGGGACTCTAACCCAAACTTATCATGGGACTCTAACCCGTACTTATCATGGGACTCTAACCCGTACTTATCATGGGACTCTAACCCATACTTATCATGGGACTCTAACCCATACTTATCATGGGACTCTAACCCATACTTATCATGGGACTCTAACCCATATTTATCATGGGACTCTAACCCATATTTATCATGGGACTCTAACCCATATTTATCATGGGACTCTAACCCATACTTATCATGGGACTCTAACCCATACTTATAACAAAAACAAAAAGAAAGGCAAAACAAAAACAAGAAAACATTACTTTTCTGCAACCACAAAATTTTGTTCAGAGAATCCAAACAGGGCAAAGAACACAAAAATAAAACACAAAATGTTCTTACCCGATTTGGATTCTCTCTCCACTTCTGACACCATATTGTTGTGGTTTAAATTCAGCAGACAGCAATGCTTTTTCTCAGGTATGAAGACAAGGAATGGACACAGCAGAAATACGAGCTCGGAGGGCAGTACTCATTCACACAAGTGTATGGCAGAATACTACACCTAATTTTAATGGGGAAGACACAGATCTTATAACAAAATTCTATACACATCCAAAAGGGGTTGTCTTCACATAATACAGTCATGTCCTGTCAATTGCATATTAAAAGAACTTAAAGCACATTTGGCATTAGCTGGTCAAAAGGTGTTACTCGATTACACAAACACTTCCCAACAAGGTGTTATCAGGATATGCAGTGCAGGGGGGGAAACAAGAAGAAGATACAAATCAGGATCAAAGGCCAGCTGTTATAATAGAGCATCCTGACATTACTAAATCTACTGTGTAGTGTGACACAGGATATAAGGGGAAAGGTGCTCATTAATCCATATCAAGTGCTGACACTAAAAATAAATGTATAATGGCCCCATAGTGAGTGTATGCTTCTTAAGCTATTTTAATTATGTATTTCTTAAAGGAAATAGAATCATCAGTATCAGTAAGTGATGACATCTCTTAGAAGTCTCAATGCCTCTTCCATATAGTTACCGTAATTCATAACCACAATACCTCTGCCTTCATCTGAATTTGTAATCCCTAAATTTAGGTTATTCCTTGAACTCTTTAAGGCTAGAATTTCATCATTACTAAGGTTGGTATATTTGATGTTAAACTGTTGTTTTACTATGCTTTCCCCTTTCAGATAGTGTCTGAAACTGGTTCAACACTGCATTATAGAAAATTAGTTCAAATTAGTTATTGTTGCTGCTATCTTTAATTGCTATTTACAATTGGATAACATTTATAAATTCTATAATCTTTACAGGAGACAGTGTGATAAAAGCTCTTAAAATATCAAGTACATATAAAAAACAAGCAGCTCAAAAACACTTGTGTCGAATAACCTTTCCTTCCTCATCAAACAATTAACCATATAAAAGGTGTATTTATAAATTAAGCCTCATAAATAATAGTGTAGAGCTATATAAGAGGGTTATCTTATCCCTTATGTATTGTAAATGAACAGGATGTGCAGAATAAATTTATATATATATTTTTAAAAAAATATATATATATATTTGTAGTGCAGATGATGATAACAGACAATTTGTATATAGTGGTACTATGGATACACTCACATGGACTAAAGCCAAGAATAAATAGCGCGATTTTCCCACAATTGTGCTCTTTAAGCAGCACCACACCTCGCTTTAAGGGATGTTTTCACTCGCAAGGTAAAAACAGAAAGAAAATAATATAGTGTAATATGCCAAAAGTGTAGGATACAAATTAGTTCATCTCACCTCACGCTGGCAAATCCATGGCTCTGAGGCCTGGAGTCAATTCATGGGGTAATACTCCCCTGGCAATATTTCTGAACTCTGGAGACAAATAGGATTACTACAAGTGCTTCCAAAATATATTTCGCTGTATTAGCTTCTTCATTTGGAAATGTGAAAATTCGGGTAAACAGCTAGTTTTTTTTGAAAGGCGAATCAAATTGATTGGCATGATCATATGATGTGGCTGGACCAATCCCCATCTCACATGGGGAAATGACATAAATGGCAGTTTGCGGAAGTGATGTTACGTCTTCTGGATATTCCCTATGATGAACAAGAGGTCTACACAAAGATGTGGAGAGTACCTCCTGTCCAATCAAAAAATAGATGAATGATAGTTTGGAGACAGCCAGTACATATTAATTTTATTCACAAATTAAGTAAAATGACCAGTAGATGAGCAAACTGTATTGGTTATGATGCGTTTAGTGTTCTATGAAAAGGATACTATAGGCACCCAGACTACTTCATTTCGTTGAAGTGGTCTGAGTGCTGTGTCCCTCTCCCCCTTAGTTCTGCAATATAAAATGTTGCAAATAAACAGTTTCAAAGAAACTACCAAACAGCCACTAGAAGCGTTTCCTGCTGTTTTACCAAATTTGACACCACGAAACGACACTGGGTGTCCCCACACTTTGCATGAGGATGTCCAGAGTCAGGGAAGTGAAGGAAAGGTTTATTTAATCCTTTCAGTGCCGTAGGAGAGGGGGTCGGGGAAAACTGTATCCCTAATACAATAGTGTTCCTTTAAGGATAGTTTGTCAGCAATATCAAAGAATATTTGAGGAAACTGACTCTGTTATCTATAGCTTATGCTGAGAAGAATTGGTTCGAGGGAGTAATGTTAAAAATGATACGTGTGCATTCCTTACTGTTATACTATGGTTTTGAAATTATATTTTTTTTCTTTGTTTATATTGGGAGTAAAAGAAAGAGATACGCATACTGCTCACCTCTTTGTTTTAATAAAACCATGACTTTCTATCATAACTTGATAAATATCTGGACTTTTAATATGTAGACGCATTTGATGAGTTAGGTTTTAGGGATAAAATATCAAATATCATAGATGCACTTCAATTCCAATTTTTGCCACTTTAGTCAGCGAAAATGAGCGATTCTAAAAGGCTTGCATTTTATCAACACCGGTTTGTATTTAAAAAAATACTTTAAAATCTGTGAAAGCTAAAGATATTCCAGTCAAACTAGTGTTAATGCATTTTTACTGTATTTTAGGAATATACACCGCTTTGTATTTACATTTAGTATTACCTGTTCCTGAGATTTCTTTCCTGGTGTGTCCCGTGAAAAACACATTCTTATTAAGTACTCCTGATTTATGTTATGCCCGTTAACCTGTTTATTAGGTTTATACAATTACCTTAACTTGTAGTAAGGTTGCTAAATTGCCATTTATTTCTGGCTATGAATTCTGAATTCTGTCAAGCAAGGTTTTTATGCTGTGTAACAGTAAGAAGACGTGCCCCAGTGTGAAATCTATTAACAGCTTTTTTTTGAAGACTGTGAGTTACTGATGTCTGGAAGTGCCAGATTGCTGCATACTGTTGGATTTTCAATCTGTGCCTCACCGAACATAAAATTTATAAATGTCTTGCAAAAAAGAGGTGATTTGTAAGCCCTACTTGTTATGAATCAAGCCTGTTTGAAATACTTACTTAATCCCTCTGCTATTACTGAACAATTAAATTAAACATGTAAATTTAGCAGAATATCAAAAACTGAATCACAGGCAATATAGAATATTGTGCATAGAAATGTTGCCTGAGACTGCTTTTTAGTAATAATCTGACATTTTACATATTGGTAAAATCCCAAGCCATCATTTTATGTTATTGTCCAGATGATGCATATGCTAACTGATGATAATTCAAGAGAACACAAAAAACACTTAGATCAGATGTTTTACATAATAATTAATGACTATATTAAATTTCCAATTGACTCTACCTTTTTGTTTCTTGTCAGATCCTATTATTTGACTATGAAGACTTTGATCAAGGTTATGTTAATTAAATCAACATTTTCCTAGCAAGCAATACATACTCCAAGGCTGCTTCCACAATCAAGTGATAACACTGTTATTTCAAGCAATTTCATTGATCTGGAAATTCCATTTAAAAACATATGAGAGATAAAAATTGGATTGCTGTATGCTGGCATGGAAAATGCTACACTCTACTCTGCAATCAAGTGGTTTACAGTTTTTTTCAAAATATTAAATCAGAGTACGCATAACATGCCTTGATTTTGTGAACATTCCCGAAAGACCCATAGAAGCTGGGATAGATTCTATCCTCTCTACGCTGATAGTCTTCCCTGATACATACTCTCACCCATATCTGTTGATAATACATTAAAATTTATCAGATAAAACAGATTTTTTAAATCAAAGATATAGAATGAAATCGAGCACTATATTAGTGACCTTTGATGTTGCTACCGTGTATATCTTCATGTCTAATGATGAGGTGTTGCAGGCTATGTTGATATCACAAAAAATATTTGTGATAGTTTTACTGAAATAAATTTTAATAATTTATTTTTTTGGATTTTGCATATTTGAGGGACTTCCTTGAGCTTGAACGCAGCACCTATGCAAACATTATCATAGCGATTATGGAGG